CGACTCACCGCCCAGCTTCCTGATTGGTCGAGAAGCTGGCGAAGCAGGAAGCCGGGGCCGGGCGGCGAGTCATTACCTGCCTCCCGGCTTCCTGATAGGCCAGAAATCTGGCTCCATGCTTCCTCGTCTCCTGGTGACGAGGGAGTGTGGAGACGGCTTCCCAGCCAATCAGGAAGTTGGGCAGTGAGGCATTACTCTGATTGTCCAGAAATTGGCTGATCGGGAAGCCGGGCGGCAAATCATTACATGCCGTCTGGCTTCCTTAATGGAACTTCCTGTATCAGTTTCTGATATCGGTGAGTGGCGGTACTCGTACTCGATACCGAAAAAACGGTATCCGTGCATCCCTACTCCTAACCTTTTCCTACTCAATTCAAATGAAACATTTTGCTTTTGGTTTTTATTTTAAAAACAGCATAGAACTCTAGTGAACAGTAGTTTCCATAGACCAGCAAAGACTATATATATCATTTTTTTTTTCTACACCATTTTGAATGCCTACAGTTACAGCATTGTTTCCCTAGAAATGTCACCTATATTGTTCCCCTATCATTGCCTCAGCAGTGTCCCTTATAAATGCCACTGACCTTCAGGCTTAGCTCATTAAACAGTATCCCTGGAAAGGTCCCCATGGCTCCATCCTTAACACACGGTACCTGAACAGAGCTCCTTATGGCAGCTTGATGATACAGTACTTTCCAGAGGTTGGCTTCCTGCAGAAGGGTAGAACCAGCCAGTAGGATTTTTCATTAAGTCAGCACAGAGCAATGATGTGCTAGGTTGGTGATCCTTCCCCATTACAATCTGACACATGCGTTGAGCAAAAGGCAGGGTCTGGCAGAAGAGAATATTGTCCATTCTGTCATCACCTTGGCACATACATTAGGCACACTGCCATTATTCTTTATGGCCAGAGCCTGTCCTCATACTCTAGACTGTAATTGGAGGAAGAAGTATAAACACTGGCAGCTCAGGCAGTACTTTAGGGTTGACGAAGATGATGTGCTGATTGCTTTTCACAAGCCTTCAAACATTGCACCAGAGAGGCCCCAACACTCTGATCATAAAATGAACTGAACCCAATGGGCAATGGTTTCCCAATGTGCATGAGCACTTGGCTGAGAACAGCATAAGGAGGAAGGTGTCCTAGTTAAATGTTTTACACCTCACCTGGTACACACAGCTAAAAGCTCATGTACACTGTGGGGGGAATTTCCAGCAGGGCTCAGTAAATCCAATACTCAGTGGGTGGGAAATTGTTCTGGCTGCAGTGAGTACAGCTTGATGCAGGCAGGTTTCGAGTGGCCTCTTAAAGGTTGTCAACACGAACCCTTATATTCATCATTTATCACTATAGAAATGGGCTATAATATTTTCTTACACATCATTACAGGACTTAGTACTGATGATAAAGTCAGGGAGAGGAACCACTGAACACAGTGGGAGACCCCGGAGATTGATGCTCCCAGAAGTGCTGCTTTCCCTTTGGACTTCAGCTGGGGATTTCTTGTGAATGGGATGATGTTCTGGAAGCGAAGACAGCAGTAAATTATGTCATACGTCGGTGGCACCGAGCCCGTTTAAACAGACTCCGGGCAGCTTTACATTTGTAAAGCCGGCTGACGGCTTTTCAATGGAAGCAATTCCGGCGGCTCAGCTGCCGCCAGATTGCCTCCAGGGGCCGGCATAGTGATCGCTCCCTTCCCGCTGCCCACACCCTGCCTTGTTTACCGAGCTTCGCTGCCCCTCCTGCGGGTCTGGGACCGGGATCTCGGGTGTCGGCGGGGAGCTGGGGAGCAAAGCGGCGAATGTCCGTTCGCCTTTCTCCTCCCCGCTCTATGGGACCGGAAGCAATGCTGATTGCATCACTTCCGGTCCCGTAGCTGTCATTGCTCGGTTGCTGAAGCCGAGCAATAAGCTATTCTAGTGCAAGCTGCACTCAAATAGGTTTTCTAGAGTGGAAAGGTAACACTAGGGGTCTTTTGGACCCCTAGTGTCACCTTAAAGATTACCTGTCACTGCTAATATTCTATCACATAGGGGGCTTGTAAAAAGTTTTAAAAGATAATATTAAATAAAATAAATGTAAAAATAATAAAAAACGTTTTTTAAAGTCCCCCGCCCTTGTGAGCGTGGGAGCGTGAGCTACACATTTTGGGTATCGCTGTGTGCGCTAGAGCGACAGCAAGAATTCTAGGGACAATATTTACGCATATCTCTAAACCTAAGGCGTCGCCTATGGACAATTTGGGGTACTGAATTTTGTCGCCATTTCACGGACGCGCACAATTTTTTACCTGAACATGTTCACTATCTGTTTATGTGTTGTAACCTCATCTTTTATATTTAAAAAAAAAAAATGGGCATTATACAGTGAACTCTCTGTTATCCAGTATTCAGCTAACTAGACGTCCCATCTAGCCGGGGGAAAAAATCCCCTGTGTACCCACTGTTCTGCCGATCTGGCACCTTCTAGGAGAGGGAGAGCAGGTTCTGGAGCATGTAAAGGTACAGGAATTGGCCGAAAAGTGCTAGATTATCCTGGGAATGAGTGTCTGAATGATCTCTGAAAAGTACTCCGTTATCCTGAAATCAGGTGTCTTATCATCGTTTGTGAAAGTGTTGTGTTATCCTGTGAACAAGCGCCACCTAGTGATCACTCCCAGCGCTGCAATGTATTGCTAATAGTTTAGGGTACAATATACTATTATGGTAAGGTATAGTATGGGGTATAGCATTGGTTAAACCCATTTTTAATAGTAACTCTTAAGCAGCCAGAAACTACATTTATCCGGAATCTGCCAATCCCAGTGGATGCTGAAAAACGGGGAGTTTACTGTATTGTGTTTTGGGGCAACTAAAATTAACTTAAGGGCATTTTTCACTAAATGTTTGGGTTTGATAAAGAGTTGTGCTAATATTGTACAACATAAACATTTACAACTGCCACTATTTTATCCTACAGGGTCGTTCCTTATATAATCTTTGGAGAAAAAAAATATATAATGTTTGGAGGTTTTAACATGTGGATTATAACATGTGTGCAAAAATCGCAAAAAAGGCCTTTTTAGCGAAAGGGTTAACATAGGGGCTACCCGAGCACCAGCTCCAGGACCACAACTGAAAATAGACCCGGTCAGCCTGGATCGCCTTGTTAGTCATCCCCGTCCCCCCTCCCCATGCATTCTTGGCCATTTACCACTCCCTGACTTCCCCAATTACAGAGTCAACCACATTTGTGCCAAGCGGTAGGCTCCTAATTAGAGAGCCGCCTGAGCTGCTTCCCATCCGACTGGTTAAAGCTGGCCATACACTTTACAACCATCGCAAGACTTTTGTCTTGCGATGGTTGTAAGCTAATTAAAAGCTTGTACGATCTGCCCATCTTGGACAGGCAGATCGTACTTGCGATCATCGCATGCCCGCCCCGCTGACGGGAGGGCTTCTGATGACCGCAATGCTGAGCAGGCAGTGTGCACTTGCGCACACCGGCCCGTGCGGCATTTGTCTTACGAGCACGCCACAAACCCACTGAAAATTTTACGATTTTCGGCTGGTTTTCCAACATGCTCGTAAGACAAAAGACGTGCGACCGTACAATAGAAACGGTCGCACGCCTTCCATACACCTGCCGATTACGATTGCGGGATTTCCCACGATTATCGTACGATAATCGGCAGGTGTATGGCCACTTTAACAGTGCTAAGTGGGTGCTCAGCACCTGGCCCATTATGCTCTTAATCTGGCCCTGGGCGCAGTTCGACCAGCGGCTTCCTCACAGAATTGGATGATGATCGCTGGAGAAAAATCTGTCTCAGGCAAACTTCAGCCAATCCATGATGGGGGGAGGGGGGGGGGGGGGGGTGAGGATTATTTTGACCACAACGAGGAGGGGGGGGGGGGGGGGGGGGGTTCAAGTAGCTTGTCTTGCCTAGGCCGCAAAGTAGTCTAACACTGGCCCTGTCTACGTTTCATCTACTTTGTATTCTTTAAAATACATAATTTTATGTATTTTTATATGGCACCTCAATCTGTATTTATATTAGCCTCTTGTCATCCCTTTCTCAGAAGAACTTACAATAGGAGAGGAAGCACTGTAAGCCAGTCAATCTAACACAAAGAGCTGGCTGAATGGAAAAGATTTGCTATCCAGTCACAGGTATACACTGTAATACTTTCTCTGTTCACGTTGCGGGCTGAACAAAGAATATATATCAGATTCCTCCATCAACGCTTACGAGCATTGGTCGAGGAATCTCCCGCTGTTCGTATTGTATTCTGATGGCGGCCGCTGGTCACAGTCAGAATACCTGAACAGAACCGACAGCTCATCGGCTGCCCCCTCTGTTCTTTGGATCCTGCCGTGGATTCGGCTGATCCTTCGGCTCTCTTCGGCCACTGGAGCACTTAGGTTCAGTGGAACCGATGGGCTGCTGTACGACTATTCACTATAGCCCGTACAGCAGCCGAGCCAAAGGTATATGCTTCAGCTCGACTGTGCCGAAGTGACACCAGAAGTGGGCCGAACGGCCCGTCGAAGTGCCAGACGTAAGCCCCGCAAATGACAGCTGGGCTAAAACGAGCACTTAACCCTTGTATTGCGGGGTAGCCCCACTGCCAGAGTTCATACATTTTTGCCTGGAGTTCTGTTTTATACAGGGCTCCTGGTAACGCAAGCTAACGTATGTCTGGTAGGGATGAGTAAATCTATAGAACGGCTAAACAGAATGACAAATCATGCAGCTTGCCGTTCACAGATATGCATTTCTATTGCTTGTGTGCTTGCCCATAGCTTTGCTTTAACTACCCCAGCGCCGGGCGCTCAGACTGTACATCGTAAAGCCCGCTGTCAGACGTCCAGCATTGCCCGGCTGCCGGCGGGGGCGAGCGAGGAGCGTGCACGTGCAGAGGGATCCGGGGGATGCTGTGTTCCACATTACACCGGCACTCAGTTGACTTGAGCAGCTGGGAGCCGGGGAGCTGTGGCAGTATGTGCGGCCGCTGATAGGAAGGGGGGCTCGCTGGATCCTCTCGTCCATTCTTCCCGGGACTGGAGGCCATGGCGCTGGGATCGCGGCCGGAGCTGGTTGGGAAGCGCTTTGTGTGTGTGGTCCGAGGAGGAGGAGAGGAGCCGCTGGAGCTCCGGGAGATTGCTCAAATCGGACGCTGGGGATGGAGAACCGGAGTCATACGAGCCGTGTCTCACCGGGACAACAACAACCCCGACCTAACGGTAAGTGCCCGGGGTGATGAGGACTCTCATGTGGACTGATAGGCAGGATTTCTCCCTGGCTCTGCGGGGACCACTGGGGCAGCCCTGGCTGAAACTCTTACTGCTCCTGGGAGCCTGGGGTCCCTAATCTGGTACTGGGAGCTTAAGGTCCCTGATCTGATCCTGGAGTCCCTGATCTCATCCTTAGGAGCGTGGGGTCCCTGAACTGATCCTTAGTAGCCTGGAGTCCCTGACCTGATCCTCGGAGCATGGGGTCCCTGATCTGATCCTTAGGAGCCTGGGGTGCCTGATCTGATCCTCGGAGCCCCGGGACCCTGATCTGATCCTTACTAGCCCAGGGTCCCTGATTTGATCCTTAGGAGCCCGGGGTCCCTGATCTGATCCTTAGGAGCCCTGGGTCCCTGATCTGATCCTTAGGAGCCCGGGGTCCCTGATCTGATTCTGGGAGCACGAGTTCCCTGATCTGGTCCTGGGAACCCGAGGTCTGGTCCTGGGAACCCGGGGACCCTGCTCTGGTCCTGGGAGCACGAGGTCTGGTCCTGGGAGCCCCCTGTCCCTGCATCTGGGAGCCCCCTGTCCCTGCATCTGGGAGCCCCCTGTCCCTGCATCTGGGAGCCCCCTGTCCCTGCATCTGGGCGCCCCCTGTCCCTGCATCTGGGAGCCCCCTTTCCCTGC